TGCTCCACTCTCTATTAATAAAGTTTTCCTTTAATAATGATAAACTATTAATGACCAACATGTTCCTTTACTTAAACCATTACAATAAGTTTGAGGCCTTTATATGTGACAGTGAAAAATAAAAATATTGTTTAATTTTATTTTGGTACTTCCAACAATCTAATTTATTATAGTTATTCTTCATTCAGAACTATCACTTTTACATTACCATTGTAGTTTTATAAAGATAAAAATTTTTTATTTTTTTAAGAAATTAAAATGAAAAAGAAAAAAAAAAAAGATTTGTACTGGTAAAACAAAAATTCTTCTTAACTACTATCTAATCTGACTATCTGTAGCTGGAAAACTATTTAATTTCTACTATTCTATTGTTGGCTAAGAACATTTAAGAACACTTTCAAAAGAGTATTTTTTGAAACTTTATGCTTTAAAACTTCTAATATTTAAAAAGGATTGATATTTTAATTGATAATTTCTCTTTAAACTGATTTTCAAGGATTTATAACTTTATTTAATCAGTAGATAGTTTCAAGATTTCTTTTTCCAATCATTTTTTAAATAATCAACAATAGAGCTAGCTTATTACTGAATTGAAATAAGATCTTTTTTTAATCTTAAAGAGAAATAAAACCAGTTTAAGAGAGAAGAAAAAAAGTACCAAATCACTTTTTTTATTAAAAAGTATATCTCATTACTTTGCTTTTTCTGTTATTACCAATTATATTATTGAATATAAGTTGTATAAGATGAAACATATAGAACTTATATGTCTTGTTTACATTTCTTGCTATATATAGATTACTTAATTCAAATTTTGAACCAATTATCATTCAGAGATTCTGGTATAACCAAAAATTCAAAGTCAAACCAAAGTAAACAAAATTTTTCAGAAAAACTAAAAAAAAGTTTATATATTTAAAAAGATAAAAGAGAAACTTAAAAAAGATAAAACAAGAGTTTTAAAAATCTATAGTAATCTTTTTTAGAGTTTTGAATCTCTGGAGAAAAGAAGAAGAGTATTGTTTTTATAAGTTCTTTTTCTTAATAAAATGTTCTTGCCTTTGACTTTATAGATAGGTTTTTCTTGTATTTACTTACAGAAATACAAAAAGTTTATTTCAAAAAGAGAAAAAAACAAGTAGGAAAAAATTAGAGTCTTTAAATAATAATATTATTAAAGAAAGTGTATAAACTTTGTTATAAAAAAATATAAATTTCTTTGGAATATCTGTTTTTTGAATTGACAAGAAAATTGATTTTTTTTTCAATATATAATAACTATTAAAATAAAATAATAATAATAATATATTATAAAAATTATATAATCAAATTTACTAAATTATATATAACCTGTATAATATTAATATTTAATTAAAATATTTAAAATATATATTTAAAAATCATATTTATAAAATTAATAATCTTGTCTTAACTGTTTTTTTTATTTTTTGATTTTTCTAATGGACAATTTTTTTTGTTTAAAATTTTTTAAAAATATATTTATTTTAATAAATAATAAATCAAAATATATATAGCCATATATTTTATATTTTATTATTAATTATATAATATTATATATTTATTTTATTAATAAAGATAATTTATCTTATTATTAATAAATAAATTGATTTATATAAAAAAAATTTTTTTTATTTATTTTATTTAAATATATATATATATAATTTAATTATAATAATATATTAATTTTAATTTATTTTTTTTTATATTTTATAAAATATTAAAAATAATTATAAATTAATTACAATTTAAAATAATAATTAGACTTGTGGATCAATAACATAGTGGATAATGCTTCCAGGTTTTCAAATGCATATCCCTAATTTAATATTTATAGAAGATAAAAGTATTTATGATACTTGTATACAGGTTTTTTTATTTTTCTATATACTTGATCTTAAAAATACAGATCCAATCCTTATTCAATTAGATTATATGAAGATAAAATCTTTGGTCTTCCTGACAGTTGCAGACTAAAACAAATCAAAAAGAAAGTTTGTATAAAAAAAGACTTTTGGTCTAACTAAAAATTATATCCATCAATCTTTCTATTAATCAGTATATCAATTATGGTTAAATAGATTACTTTAAAAAAAATACCAATTGGAAATATTACTACATGAATAATGTTTAGGCAAGTTTTATAGGAATTGTGTTCTGCTTGATATTTATATTTCTAGATTTGACAGCCTAAGCCAACTAAAAGCCTATAGAATATCTATTAAAAGATTTAAAAGTCATGTCTTACTTGATCAACAATCAAACTTTCAGATTTGGTAGTATATATCAATTATAGAAATAACTCTTGAAGTATTTACTAGAAAGTATAGTTCAAATAAATTCTTTGGAATATCATAGTTATGTAAAAACAGAGAATATAATATAATAAGATATCTAAAGATACTTAATTGATATACTTTTATTCTCATTCTTAGAAAGGTTAAGTAGTTTAAAACTGATAACAAGATTTTTATCCTTTAAATACTAATATATGAATCCATTCATATAGTATAAATTAATATATCTGATTAAATCATACTGTACCAGTTAATATTAACAATAGTTAATAGATTGTTTATGTACAGATATAATTTGCAAAATGATTCATAAAAATTTATACCTGTAGTACAATTAATATAAAAAAAAAATTAAAATAATAATTAAAAATTTTTTAAAAAAATTGTTAATTATAAAAGCAAAATATATAATAATTTAAATTTATTTTTAAAAAATTCAATAAAATTTAATTGAAATTATTAAAGAATTTTAACATAATTTTAAATTTTTAAAAACATATATAAAATAAACATACTAATATGAATGTAATTGTATAAGAATTTCAAATTTATTAAAACTATTTTCAATTATATACAATATATTATAAATAATAACAATTTATAAATATACTTTTTTAAATAGTTACATATGACATTATTATTATACTATATGAATTGTTAAAATAATGTCTTATCTTAAAATTGTTAATAAGATAGCAAAAAAAAAATAAGTAATTTTTTGTTAATAGTTTTTTGACAGTCGCGCAATTCACTTTTAATGCTTTTTTGGAATGCAATACGATTTGAGATAAGATAATGCGAGATAATATTTGTATGTGGAATTATTAAATTTTAGCCTTCCCCTAAAAGCAGCGATTAAGAAAATACAGGAAACAATCACAAAGAGGTCTTGCACTCTTTCCGAATTGTTCCCACGCGAATGAATCAATCGGACAATTGGTATCACGATAACCTTGGTCTTGTTTATTGTTTATACGCCTCACTTCCAAAATTTACGTATTGTCAAACAAACATTTTCATGATACACGTGTATCAATTACGTATTGAGGGCTGACCACTACCGATCATCCAGTTGGCTTCAAAGCCACCCCCACCCTGTGAACATCTCTCTTCACAGCCTTTTGAGGCAATCGAGAAAGAATAACAAACCCCACTCGTTTACTAATACCATTTTTGTATATGTGTTCAGATAGCAATAATCTTATCTTACACAAAAAATCTCATCAAAACGTTTTGTTCGTTATCTGAATCTAACCGTTTTCTAATTTAGGCTTATCAGTATTCATATGATAAATGTGAACGAATGATGTTATGCATACTCGAAAATATGTAAAATATATTACGTCATTAATCGGATAAAGCTGGCAAGTGCTATGGGAATCTGAAAATAAAGATAATGCAACGAGATGATTAAAGAAATGATTGTCTCGGAGTAAAAATAAATGTAAGAACGTCACCCAATGGGATTTTTGAACGGGATACGCAACCTCTGGGGAACTTCTTTATCAGGAAATAAATGGAAATACAAGGAAATGTATGTTATCATTGTCCAACGACTCCGAGACTACATACGATGATGTCGGCCGCCTGGACATAACAAATATGTTCTGACGAACAATTTAAACAAGATGTAGTAAAGTTCGCATCTTAATTCCCCGCACGTAACAACCGAATATGAAAGATAATAGTAACATTGGCGATACAAAGAATTCTTGGTAGGGCGTAATTTCGTAATTTTTCAAAGAAATAAGTGTTGTCATACAGTATTCTTTTTAATTGTTTTGAAACATGCGGGTTTAACTAGTTTAAACTTTTTATTTGTTTATTTCTACTCGTGTAAATGATGACACTTATCTCAATTATAATAGACGTTATGATAGGTGAAAAGCTTTTTATTTATGTACACACTCGGACTTGTCAGTTACGTGTCAAAAGTTTCTGAAGTTTATTACAATATTGAAAGTGTTAAATCGTTGAGTATTGTATCAAACGAAGAACGAAGACTGAATACTGGCGAACATCCGAATCAGGATGTTAATTAATCGATGATGTTTAGTGTGAAGTAAACGTACGTAAGCCTCTTTGAATCATCTGTTGCAGGCGGTGCCAAACGCGCTTGATCTACAATTAAAATGTTTGTAAATGTTTCCTTCTTGGAGTTCCTTTGTGTTATTCTTTTTTTTTTTTTTATATATATATATGGCAACACTAATGAGAAAATGATTTTTTTTTTTTATATATATACCGTAAACGAGATTTTTTTGATTTTTAATACAGTGTAAATAAATGTTGTTGCATCACTAAGAAAGTCGTGTTGAATATGAATCCAAAGCGTTATACATCGATTGTGAAAATATAAAATATAAAATACTGATAACGCGGTGTAACAATACACGCATACATATATTAGATCACAGGATCCCTACAACTAACTGACATAATAAAAATTAATGTAGTAGAACCTCCATTAGCCAATGGAAAATTTTTTGTCATATATCATGGTTTTATTAAACGTAGTCTTCTATCTTTAATATCTGATAAGACAAAGGTAATAAAGAATTTTTGTCATCAAAAAGAATTATTGTGCTTGATCACGAACTTGATGTGTAAAAAAAACGCTTATATGACGTAATCTATGTATCGTACGATTCATACCTCCACATCAGTACTTGCCCAGAGTGCGCGTTTTATGCAAGGTACAACAACGAAAACGGTTTTATATTTGGTTTATTGATATTACACGTCTAGGAAGACAACAGGTCCACATTCCGAATATTTATTAAACAAGCCGCTTAATGAAGTTCCAAATTAGGCTAATCATATCGCGATCGGATCACTAAAGGATCACTATAATATCAAAACGATATGATATAGTTGCCGATCAATTTGTTATCAGATTCAGATAAAGATGAAATCCCAATTTTCTGAGACGCGAAAGGTTTTCTCGGATAGTTTAGAAGTTACACCAATAGTAACGACGAGGTGTCTAAGTCAATTTCTTATATTCCGGATCGATCACCTTATTGTTAATATTAGGACCAACGTTCAGGTTGTTTTCTACGAAGGATGCGATCGGATGAATTAAACCGATTAACCATGCTAAAAATCGATCAGTTCGCGACGATAAACACATTGCTAATGAAGTTCTGATTAAAGATTTCTTGAACACTAGGCGATCTGCGGAGCAAGTTTATTAATTTTAAATAATGTCGAGATAAGCTTACCATCAAGATATTAATTCGCGGCGAGATCAACTAAAACACTGATTAATTGACTATCAAATGTAACATTAGAACATTAGTCAAGGAGTTTCTAGTATTATTAAAAGGTAAAATACGTCACTTTGAAAATTTTTTTATTTTTATTATTACAACGATCGTTATTATTGGTATATATAAAAAAAAAAAAAAAAAAAAAATTTTTTTTTTTTAATGGTGATTAAAATAATGTAGACTAAGCCACAAACGTGTATGGGTCCAGTTTGTACATGGGTAACGTGCATACAGAAGTGGAATACTGCTCGAGAATTCTCGAATAGAGATAAGCAGATAACATTGATTATCGGAATGCTTTATCAGCTTATCCAAAAATTTAATTTAATTTATTGCCCACTGTCTATTCACGTGCCACGTACGCGTATGGTGACTAAATGCCAAGCTTCTTCGGGATAACCTAAATACATTATTCGTTCGTCGGTCTCTCTCTCCGATTCCATCATACCGTATTTATCACATGCAATAATAATTATTGATCTGTTCAGGGGTTCTCGATTGTCGATTATTGTTAGTTTTTCTTATCTTTGCTCGATTATACGTTGCCCAATTAAAAAATCCGACTTTGAGGAGTCTTTAAATATGGATCCTTTTCTTTTTGGTATCAATTTGAAATTTGATTCTTGGGGGGAATGATTATGCGCTGATAATGTGCGAATATAATCGCTGTTTCATTACGCATGCATTATTTTTTTTACCCGATTTCCTTATTTTATTATTCGATTTCCTTATTTTATGACCTGAATAACCATGGTACCGATATCCCAACATTTACTTTGGATCAAACCGTTTTTTTTCGTAACGATAAGATGTAATTTTTAATACGTGTGTATTCAGATAATGATTATTAAATGTGACATGGTTCATTCAATTAAAATTTAAATGTAAACATAAGATTGATGAAATCTATTTATTTGCTGAATTTAACACGCACACACACGGTATCTGATTATGAATTTCACGTTAATTAAATAAATCCTTCATCTCAATTGATAAAATAATAATTGATATGGCATAATAATATATTTTTTTAAAAAAATAAAAAGTGATCAATTTTTTACTTTAGAATCGCACGACATATACAATTTAATTATATACATACAGTATATTTTTAAATACCTTGTATTGAACTAATTCAATAATATCAAGTTTGAATTTTGACATAGAATAAATGATCATACTATTTTGCGAGATTACATTTGTTTGCTGTATCTTATCAAAATTATTTAATCGTCAATATAATTTTCATAATCATATGCAAATTTAATAACTTCATTATAAATTTTATTAAAAAAATGTATTTTTTTTTTTTAATTTTTAATGTTTATAACATATTTTAAATTATTGATTATTGATTATTAAAATAATAAAGGGATTTTTTTTTTTTAATTAAACTTTTGCTTTTTAAAAATATATTAATAATAATGTGATTATTTTTTTTTTAAAAAAAATTATTATTATTATTATTGGTTATTTCAAATTTTTATTAAATAAATATAAAAACTATTTAATTAAAATATTTAGATAATAATATTAGTTTTTTTTTATAAAATTTTTTATTTAAAAAAGTTTAAAACATGTTATATACAACATATAAATGTTAAAATAATTTAAAAATTTTTATGTAAAATTTTTTAATATAAAAATTAAGTTTTTTTAAAAAAAATAATATATCAATTGAAACATTATTAAATCATTTATGATATTTAATTATATATTAATAAATTTTTATATTTTTTTGAAAAAACAAATAATTATTATATTTTACTTTCTTTATTATAATTTTAAATTTGTAAAACAAAATTTTATTTTTATTTATTTATTTTTTCCTGTAGGTAAACATCATTTTTTTATTTGATATTAAAGTTATAATAAAAATATTAAAGGTGGTTTTTTTTGTCCCGGACTGTATATCAAGAAGCACAGTCTCCTCCACTTGTTTCTTTCTCTCTTTGATATAAACTTTTTATATTTCTGCAAGTAAATATAAGAAACTTCTACCTACAAAGTTAAAGGTAAGAAAACTTTGTTAGGAAAAAGAACTTGTAGAAAAAGTACCTACCTCTCTTCCTCCAAAGATTCAAGACTCTAGAAAAAACTGGCATAGATTTCTGGAACTCTTCTCTCATCTTTCTCAAGCCCTTCTCCTATCTTTTCAAGTGTGTAAACTTTTTTTTCTGATTTTTTTAGGGGATTTTGCCTACTTCAGCTTGACTCTGAATTTTTGGTTACACTGGAATTCTTAAATAGTGATTGATCCAAATTTTGGACTGATTAATCTACATGTAGCAAGAAATGTAAACAAAACACATAACTCCCATGTGCTCTATCTTGTACAACATAAAACCTAATAATGCAATAGGTTATAGTGAAAAGAGCAAGGTGACAAGATGTCCTTTTTGTCAAGATGTGTTATGGTACTCCCTTCCCCTCTTGGACTGGTTTCTTTTCTTTTCAAGATCAAAAGAAATCTCATCCCAATCCAGTAACAAGCTTTCTTCATTGTTAATTATCCTGAGAAGACATCAAGCAATAATTTTCTAAGGTATAAGTTTTGTTTCAAGCAATAATTCCTTATGGGTATAAGACTTGTTATAAGTACCTTAAATATTCTTGGTTAGCAATGGAATAGTGAAAATTAAATGTTTTGCCCAACTGCAAGTGGTGGTAAAGGATTTATTCTAATGGACCAAAGTTGATATTGGAGGGTTTTTATTTACCAGAATAAACTTTTCAATTATTCCTTTTTATTTCTCTTTTCTTTTTTTAAAAAATAAAATTTTTTTTTACCTCTTAGAACCACAGGATCATTCGGGGTGACAGTTTGAATGTAGGCTGGCTGAGATCTTTCAAGGTATAGTCTTTGACATCTAGTTTTGAAAAGAAACAACTTCTTCATTTCCAATGATCACATCTAGAGAGTTTAGATTTAAAAAGTCTAAAATAGTTAATACCACACAGTAATAGCTTAATGAATCTACTTTCTTGTAGTGAAATAGTTAGTAAATAGTTAAATCATGTAGGCAACACAGTGGTTTTGGTATTAAGGATTCAAGAATTACGTACAAATCTAAATTCATTGATGGATGTTTTGCAATTACGAGATAGTTTAGCTTTAGTATAGTATCATGTATATTATACTACTGTTTTTCAAAATTGAATAAATAAATGCAACTTTTGCAGTCTGATTAGAGGCAAAAAAAAAAAGATAAAAATTTTAATTAAATATATTTAATAATTAAAAAAAAAATTTTTTTTATTTAATTAATATGATTCAAAACATATGGAACTTTATTTTAATAAAATTTTGAATATATAAAAAATTTTATTTTAAAAAAACACATTCGTTATTATTATTATTATTATTTATCTTGTGTTACAAATCACCATTTCATATATCCCCCTTTTGTCTTAATTATCGCTTTTACCCGTTTAGGCATAGACTCAACATACTTACTAAGAATGTCTAATTCAATACTATTCCATATAGACTGTATCTTAGTCCACAGGTTCTCTTTTCCCATGGCTCGTTCTGGAAGTCTCCTAAGATGTCACTCTACCTCATTCTATAAGTGTTTGATAGGATTGAGGTCTGGGGACTGAGATGGTCAAAATAAGACTTCAATGCTATTCTTCTTAAACCACTCTTTGATTTTTTTTGTGATATGTTTAGGATCGTTATCTTATTGAAGATGACATCCTTAACATTCAGGCTGTATCACTCAAGGGTGCCAAAAAAATCTTCATCAAGAATTTGATGATATAGTTCA